AATAATAAATTCATAAAAATAAAGCTGTCTGGTGAGTGCTGAGTAGCTGTCGAATTGAATGTAGGCAATGTGTTTTCTCACCTCTAGCCCAGAAGTATGAGACCAAAATTGCTACCCATCTTCAAAGTGCTCATTAATTCAAATAAAAGAGCCTTGTTTCTCTTCTGCTGGAAGAGTCTAGATGATACATTACTCCTGTATCCTCCAGACCCAACCTGCCTGTTTCTAACGATGTAAGGTGAGAGTTCATTCAAGGCTCTAAGTGTAATAATTACAAACTCTATCACCTCCTGAATTAGCACGAATGCTGCTCATTTTCCTCCGAGGTTGTGTGCACGCTCTCAGGCATTCCTCCGAGGTTGCTGTCACCTGCTGGGAGTGAGCAGGGAGTCAGGTGCGGAACACAAGGTCATACCTGCAACCTCTGGTCTTCAGACATCCTGGGAGGGGGCTCCAGGTGGCTGTGGGGTCTTCGTGTCACTGCCAAGTTTGCCGGGGTGCTGATGGTGCTGAGGACACGGGGTGGGGTACCCCCGGCTCCCGTTGACTGAGGGCCTCGCTCCTGCTTTCGGGGCAGATGTCCCTCCCTCAGCGTCACACCTGGTCAGGGCACCCCAGAGTCCCAGGAGTTCTGCTTCTTAAATTCAGCTTCATGTACATCTTTCCAAGGCTTTTTCCACAGTGCCCAGGTGAAGAAATCCTACACCGCCTGTGATATTCTGTGCCCAGAGCCACCCAGCCCCTTCAGTGGCCCCACCTTGACAACAGGTCACCCATTTTCCCCTCATTTCAGTGAGTTTTCTCTGTAGAGATCGTTATAATCTGACCTTGGTTGGGGCCCTACTAATCCATTCGGATTGTTTTAGTGACTCTAATTTCCATTTAAGGGAAGGGGTTGATTCCGATTCCTTTTGTTCCGGGGACAGTCCTTTGCCCCTAAAAATTCTTGAACACAAATTAATATCTGAGGGGGAGATACAATATCCTACTCCCGCTGGCAGCATTTGAGATCCCAGTGCAAGCGGATACGTCCAGTACAGAGTGACAACCCCCAGCTCCTCAGCCGAGCGTATCCGGGTGCCAGGTTCTGAAAAGCCCCGTTACGTAAAGTCAGTGCAACCTGTGGACGCCGGCTCGGAGCGGACTGGAGAGCCACAGGCTCTCTGTGCAATGCAGGTGCCGGGAATAGTACACTCTGGTCTTCGTGCTGCTGATAAAGGATGCTGACAATTGTTTACGATTGGTGAACTTCTATTTCATAATCTCTGCGTAAAATCTCAATCGTCTAAAACTAGGGGGAAGGCCGGGCGTGGTGGCTCACGCCTGTAATCCTAGCACTCTGGGAGGCCGAGGTGGGCGGATTGTTTGAGCTCAGGAGTTCGAAACCAGCCTGAGCAGGAGCGAGACCCCGTCTCTACTAAAAATAGAAAGAAATTAATCGGACAACTAAAAATACATAGAAAAAATCAGCCGGGCATGGTGGCACATGCCCGTAGTCCCAGGTACTCGGGAGGCTGAGGCAGGAGGATCGCTTGAGCCCAGGAGTTTGAGGTTGCTGTGAGCTAGGATGACGCCACAGCACTCTAGCCCGGGCAACACAGTGAGACTCTGTCTCAAAAAAAAAAAAAAATGCCCTGCTGCTTTCTTACCACCTCACACCTAAAGCATCGTATACCGATTTTTGATATTCTCTCCTGATGATACAAATTTAAAAGAATGTTAGAAATTTATTTAAGAAATTTTCTGGCAAATCATCCTTTTGAAAGCAGTAATATGCCTGTTAAAAGTCTACATTAATATCCATTGACCAGTGAGTATTTTCTACTGAGAGTTACAGTGTGTTCCAGCATGTGGATGTGGCTAGAATCATTTTCAACAGTCCTCTGCAGACGCGATTTGAATGCTCTATTTGCGTTTTATGCAGTTCAGTGGCCGATTGTTTCTGCAAATTGAGTTCATGCTGCCAGCTATTACTCCATTCCTCTGGGGTGTTGCTGTGTCTTGGAGGAGTGCTAAGCCACAACTCTAGACTTTTCTCTTGGAGAATGTTTTCGTGTGTCCACCGTGATTCTAAAAACCAGGTTTTTTTCCTCAAATGGAAAACAGGAACTCACTGGTTTTACATTTCTTCCAACCCAGGTTATAGTCAGGTATGCACAGCCAAATTTGACCTTGAGCTTTATACGATAGAATCTTTGAGCAGAGAGTTAGTTACACTCAAGGCTTTCCTGCAGTGTTAACGAGTCTGATGGCTTATACGCGATGCTGTCAGTGTAGACGGAAGTCATGGAAAAACCTCTCGTTGAACCGAAGAGAAGATAACTTCCACTGGCCACTCAAATTCTCACCTTTCATCTGACCTTCTGTTTCTTTTTTTTTTTTTTTTTTTTTGAGACAGAGTCTCACTCTTTTGCCCAGGCTAGAGTGAGTGCCGTGGCGTCAGCCTAGCTCACAGCAACCTCAAACTCCTGGGCTCAAGCGATCCTCCTGCCTCAGCCTCCCGAGTACCTGGGACTACGGGCATGTGCCACCATGCCCGGCTGATTTTTTCTATGTATTTTTAGTTGTCCGATTAATTTCTTTCTATTTTTAGTAGAGACGAGGTCTCGCTCTTGCTCAGGCTGGTCTCAAACTCCTGACCTTGAGCGATCCACCCGCCTCGGCCTCCCAGAGTGCTAGGATTACAGGCGTGAGCCACCGCGCCCGGCCTGACCTTCTGTTTCTTTTTTCTTACTCACTGCCATAAAACCCTGGCTTATGTAACTCTTCAGACTTACCCACCTAGACTTAAAGTAATGAACCTGTTTCCCCTTTAATTTTTGTAGGTGCTTTTGGGAGCAAGGAGAATAGGATAGGGTCTTGTGATCCAGTGGCTCGTGGTTGCAAGTGGAGGTGGGGATGATGGGGAGCAGTGAGTAGAAAAGGACTTTTGCAAACCGTAGACGCGTCTGGTTCTAGTCATCAGCACACATCAGCAGGTCACTAAATTATAGTGGATGTACTCAGCTTAATTAGATAATGAATTTCAAAAGAAGCTGAGAATATTTAAATACCGTTATTAAAATGGTAGTTATTATAGGTAATTCTCTGGGGCAGTCCTCATTTCTGAGTGAGTTATTTAAGCAAAAGACGAAATCAGCCTTCCGGTTCAAACTTTTCTCGTACGTTAAAATTTTAATCTTACCTCTGTGCTAAGGTTAGATCCTCCTGAGGGAGCACAAGCCTGGGCTCTCGGAAGGGGAGTGCCGCAGAAAGATGCTCGGATCGTGCTTCCGATTTCGGGATTCCTGAGCATCTTCTCCCGCTTCCCCGCTGTCGATGCAACTTACTTAACACTGACATTAACGTAGAAGGGACCAACCTGGAGAAACATGAGCCAAAAGAAATCCTCTCTTTCGTTGTGGGGGCTCTTTTGTTTTATTCATTTCATTCACTTTCTCACGGTTGTTCTTTTTGCTTTTGAACTTTAGAAACGACACAAAGCTGATAATGCTGTCAACAAGAAACAGACACAAGGTAGGAATTTTACGTCTTATTTCTCATAGCTGTCAAACACGCTCACGGTGAAATATTTTCAAATCGCTTCCATTAACTATAATTCAACTGAGAGTACTGCGTATCTCTTAAGTTTTTCTTTCAGGGTAGATTGATTCTTGCTTTGTAGTGTTTATTATTCTGACACTTAAGTTCACATTAGAGTGATTTACAGTGATAATGCTTTTGAAAGCCAACATTTTTAATATATTTAAGTGCTTCGTAGTAGTAATGAGCTCCCAAATATAATCCATAAAGTCTGCAGTTGTTTTTGACTTCATTAAGTACTGTAAACTGTCTTCGTTTGTAACCTGCAGATGTTACCGTAGAGAAGATGTACAGGAAATAATCAGATGTGATGTCACTGGGTTGAAAGCATTTCGGAGAGCAAAGCGCTCTGAGTTACTCTATACGTGCGGACGGTGTATGCTCCAGAAATAAAGATGTTTAAAACCAGGCCAGCTTCTGTGGCGTGTATGGCATTTTTGGCATGGCTTCTTTCGTGTGAGCACCTCATTTCGATGCTGCCAAAAGCAAAATGACATTCAACAGAAGCAAATAGACTGTGATACTCTAATATGTTTTTTTAAAAATACCCAGGAACACACGAAACTCATCTTATCCTATCCCTGAGCCGTCCCCTCTGTGAGCCTCGTCCCTCTCTGAGGTTCTCCTGATGGGATGAGGGTCAGTAAAGTCTGCCAACATTATCTGGCAGTTAAGAACAGTGTTTTTACC